GAGATTTTTTTAAAAGTTGTTGGATTTCTAAAAAGAATACAACTTACTTGGTAATCGGGTATAGTTTGTTTGTTTTACTTTTATTTTATATTTTTAAATATTATTTTCTGTATTTTTTTAAAAAGAAATTTTAGTCTATGAACCATCATTTCTTTTAGTAATCCATCCTTACTTTTTATAAGTTGTTGATTTGCTTGAAACAAAACCCCAGTTTTTTTTTATTTTATTCTATTTACTATTTTTTTAATTATTGGCACTGTACTTTTCTAATGATGATAATGAAAAACAAAAATGGGTGAGAAAAAAGATCGTTCGTTTCTTTTACATGAATTTAAAAAAATTCTTATTCACCGTCTACTTTTAAATTAAAACTTTTAACATCTGTATATTTTTAATCGAAAACACTGGTAAATAATATTGATTTGATTGCATATTGTGATTAAAAATGAAAGTTACCACTATTAACCAGTATTGAAATGATTTCAGTTTTTATACGCAGAATGAGCTTAAAAAATTAACATTAGTTAAAATTAAAAAAATCTTTTTTCGTGATCATTGAAAGGAAACGAATTTAAAACATATAATCAAGTTGATCCTTAAATTGTTAATTAAAAATTACTACTTACTTGGTGAGGAAATTGCTTTTTTTTCATCTCTTTTTAAGTTTTAAAACGATATCCTGACAATAAATTGCGCTATGACGTGCCGTTTTTTGCTGTTTTGCGATAACAAACGTAGAGAAATTGGATCATTTAAGTAATAATCTGTTTGAAGAACTGAGAAGGTAAAACTACCAAAATTTCTACACAATATTTTTAAAGACAAAAAAAGAAAAATCAGTATACGTTCCAAAAGCTATTTCAATTTTCCATTTTCTTATCAGAAGTATTTGTTATTAATTTTTGTTGCATTTTATAACAACTTTCAAATTTTGCATTCTAACATTAAGAAAACATAAGATCAATTTCTTAATATTAGGGAGCAAAAACTAAACTCCTCACCACCAAACAGACCTTAAACCTGCACCAATCCTGATGAGTGGTCATACTCTGAAAGAGGCTCCTTTCCTCAAATGCCTACTGGATCTAAAGCTCACTCCTGACCTGAAATGGAACACGTATATTCATGCCATCACAAAAGATACTGGAAGAATGGTCAGTTTCTTGTATAGCTCCTGCTGCCATGCTCTATTTTTACAAGAGTCATATAGAAAATAAACCAACACAATTACATACCCACATATGTACCATGAATGTAGTACTCCTGCCATATCTAGGCTGGTACTGCACAATCCTTACTGACAAAAAAGTCCCACGCAAACAAATCATTACTGTCAATCCTGACAGTTCAAAATTGCTTACATAGTCTTGTAGGTGATTAATTATTCTCTACCCTGCAATCCTTATCCCACAGACAAAACCTTGTCAAACTTTCAATGGTAGATGTTAAGATACATTCCTTAGTTCCTCTAGCTCGGACCTTCGGATGTAGGACTCACTGTGCCATGCCATGTTCACAGTGGCAGACCATTCCCTTTGTGTTCCTTTGGAAAAAAAAAAAAATGCCACTCAAACAAACTTTGGAAGACAAATTCCCGAGAGAATGCTTTCTTGGCAACTATGATATTGGTCTCTTTAAGTCAACCAATATCTATCCTGCCCATCCTTATAATACTTCCCCCTCCCTTACAACAATCTTACTTAGTAACCCTCTACCCTGAGAGGCCCTTGGTCTTTGTATTGGGCAAACAGTAAAAAAATAAATAAATGACAACAGAAAACTGTTGAGACACATTTCATTCAGAATGAACATCTTCAGATCAAGGGTTTACTGAGGCAATCAACCCAAAACATCAAAAGAGTAAATTATAATAAACACAAGCTACAGTTTACCTTAAAATTATCAGTATGGAACAAACACTCAATAATTCAATACGTGATAACCAGGACCAGATTATCCTTTAGACTAGCATAGGTTGCAGCCAAAGGCCCCTCAAGCTTTTATGAAGCAATGATTTTAATTTTGTAGATGTGATAACTTCTAAAGAGCTTCAGCAACTGAAATATCAATATGACAAACTCATATTTATTTTACTTTGCAGGAAACAAAACAAAGAAAAGAATGTTTTAGTTTGTGTCATTTTGTTTCAAGGAGATAACATATTTGATTTTAGTTCAGAATGTTTAAATCTTAGAAATTTTTATAAAGCAGTGATTTTAATTTTCTAGATGTTATATCTGTCTATTAGCCATTATCAATGTTTTTTTTTTGTTTGTTTGTTTAACTGAAGATGTAGATATAGGAAGATGCATATATAGGATGGGAATGTTTTTAATTTCCAAACATGGTGGCCATGTTCATAATATGGAGAACTGGCTTCTTCTTTTCTAGTATTAACGTTTGCATTACTTTTAACCATTATTTGTATGTGGATGGGTCTTTCTTTTATGATCCTATTTTCATGAGTATTTTGCAGACAGAGGTTGGTAGAATGTTTTTAATTTTTGCTGACTTTATTCCAAAATTAAAAAACATCACCATCCCTATAGCTCCATGTATATAAAAATCTGTATATGTAGTCAAGCAAAAACACACCGTTGATAATAGCTAATAGATTAGTTGAAAGTGTTTGAATCCACAGAATATTTGGACAGTTTTTACACACTGTATATCCAAAAAAGAAAATACTTGTATTAATACAAGAATGATTTAATAAAAAGCTTAATCACAGTGCCTTGTCAATCATCGTCAAAGAAACTTGTGTGTACATATATATATATACATATATATATATATAAAGTGGACATTAAGGTCAACACCTAGCAGCAACAGTCTGTTTCTAGCTTAAATACAGTCCTCATGCCTGAAGATTGTGTTTAAGCATGGAACAAACTGTCTCTGCTGGGTGTTGATATCAATGTCCACTTTTATATTTACATACACTCTATCCCTAATATTGAACACTTTAACCCATACATATAGCATACCGTAAAACTATATTTTCTTCAGTGTATATATATATATATATATATATATATATATATATATATATATAATAGGAAAAAAATGAGTAGGAAACATATTTCAATCTAAAATGTTTCCCCTTATTAAAGCTTCATCAGAGATCAAGATAGAAATGGTAAAAATCAATGAAGCTTTAATAAAGTGAAACATGTTAGATTGAGATCTGTTTCCTACTTGTTCTTTATTCTATCATTTTGTCAGATTCCTATCCATATATATATATATATATATATATATATATATATTTGATGGACTTTCCCGTCGTTTTCAATGTATGAGTTTCTTTCAGTTCAGTTTTTATGTTTATGTTTTGTATGAGATATCAGTCCTGCATGGGATTTGCAAACAAGTCCACACGAGAGATATGCTGAAGGGTTGGCCGTCATATAGGCTGATATATTGGCCTAAGATTTAGTGTTGGTTCTTAATTCTCTCGGATGTTTGAGACGATTCTTTTCAAAGTTAGTTATACCTCAGTGGCAGGAGTTTCTCCAGTTTGCTCGGTTTTCAACAGCAAATTCGAACTCCTCTATTGGGATGTTTGCAGTGTTTAAATTGTATTTGTGTTTGTCCTTGAAGTATAACCAAGGACAGACTACATTACGCCTACCATGAAAAAGTTGGCTATACAGGAGGACTTTCGGCATCTGATCATTACTCATTCTTATGACATGAGCAGCCCATCTAAACTTTGATTGCATCAGAAAGGATTTGATACCACCGATGCCACATTTGATGAAATGATCAGAATTAGTGATTTTGTCCTGCAGTGTATAACTGCATATTGAATGAAGACAGCATTTATGAAAAGCATCAAGTTAATTGATATGCATCCTGTATGGCATCCATGACTCTGACTCATAAAGAAGTGTGGTGAGAATGGCTGCTCGATAGACACAGATTTTCGTTTTCAGTGAAATCTCAGGAACATCCCATAGGCAATGATTAAGCTTCCCAAAGGCATTGGTTGCCTTTGATATTCAGTTAATTATCTCGTCATCGAAAGAGGCACTTGAATTGACTTTGCTTCCTAAGTACGTGAATGATTTCACATACTTCAGGTTGTTGTTGCCAACATATATAGATATATTATTATTATTTATTTTTAGTATTTTAACTCCAGAGTTTCGTAGATGGACCCTTCAACAATTGCTCCATCCACTCATCAGGAGATATCAGCAATCAACTGTTTATTTTCTCGTTTTTTTGCCACTTTTATATTGAGTTAAAAAAATTTATGCACTTTTCATCCATGCAAGGTTGTTATATTTTTTTTTTTTTTACTGAAGAAAAATATTTACCATTGAATAATAATTATTATATTTCTCTTTCAGGAATGATAAAGAATATGGAAAGATATCTGATTATTGGGAATTACATATGTTGGAATTTTCCTAAAGAAAAGAAAAAAAATGAAGAAAATCTGTCTTGCCTGATGCTCTAATTGGAAAGACAAGTTCTTAAAAAAAATGATGCCATGACCGATGGAGCAAAGTATAGTTTATGAAATATTCTCTTTATTAGAAGGAAGTCTTTCAATCATAATTATTACATTTTTATGCTTGTAAAATCTGCACAATGTCAACAGATATTGTCCATACTCTTAACTTTAAGCAAATATTTTACTCTACAGGTCCTGTCCATTTACTGCCTTGTAAAATCTAAGAATATGAACACAAGCAAATGTGAGCATTTAAATTTTAAGTTAATGTTTCACACTCAGCTATGTAACATTCTGGACTTGATGCAATCACTAAATTTACATACTTGTAAAATCATTTGGGCTACTCATCTTCTATACTTCATGCAGCAGTCAGTACCTTGAACAAGTCCTTCAAAACTTATGCTTCTTACAATCAGTACTTAACAAAATTTCTAGACACGTACATAACCAATCTGTCTTTCATGCACTAAAACGAAATACATTTGTGAAAATCACTAGATAGCCTTATCTTTCTCAGCCTCTATTGGAGAAAATGGAAAAGCTGCTGGCACCAAAGCCATTCTCCTGCGACTTGTGTGGTGAGACCTTCTCACGACGCAGCTCAATGATTCAGCACAGGCGTATGCACACTGGTGAGAAGCCGTACCGCTGTGAGATCTGCTTGAAAGCCTTCACTCGGCCTTACACTCTCCAGAAACACAGGTGCAGCCATACAGGTGAGAAACCATTCTCATGTGATCTCTGTGGACGTAACTTCTCCCGGAGCAGCACCTTGCTCGAGCACAAACGGACTCACGCTGGAGAGAAGCCATTCCAATGTGATATATGTCAGGAATATTTCTCTCGGCGGAGCACATTGCATCAGCACCAGCGGACCCACACAGGAGAAAAACCCTTTGTCTGTGAGATCTGTGGTAAACGATTCACTCGACGGTACACATTGCAGAAGCACGCCAAAGACCACACCTGTGATGCACCTTACAAATGTAGCATATGCGGACAACAGTTTGCACGGCCTTATGCACTACAAAAGCATCAACGTTGCCATTCAGGCGAGAAACAGTATACATGCGATGAGTGTGGAGAGAATTTCTCTCGACGAAGTAACCTTCATGTGCATCAGAGGACTCATACAGGAGAAAAGCCTTTCAAGTGTACAATTTGTGGAAAGCTGTTCTCTCGCCGCAGCAACTTGCAGGTGCACGTGCGGAGCCATTCAGGAATCAAGCCATATAAGTGTGACATCTGCAGTAAACAATTTGTACGCAACAGCACTCTAGTCAAACACATGCAAGCGCATCTAAGTACCGATAACAGTCTTTTCCAAGAAGAGAGGCCCATTACCAAAGTGGATATGACTAGTAGCATTAACACTAATCCTTCCAAGTTTGTTAGTAACATCTGCAGTAGTAGTACGTATGGTGTTAATAAAGACAAAAATAACAGCAATCTTTTTGATTGCAGTACCAATATGCCTAGCAGTGAAACTACTAAGCCAAAGAGTAATGACGACAATTATAAGAACAACTCTAGCATAAATTCCACTCACCATTGCAAACCCACAGACCCCTGCTTGCCTATGGAACAAAGTTCACTATATCTTTGTACCCACTGCGGAAAACCTTCTTCCAAATGCAATCATTTGCAAACACTGCCGGTATCCTTGCCCCAGCAAGAAATGCTTGATTCACAGCAGCTATCTTCCTACACTCCAGTGCCATCCAAGAACCGTCTGTCCACTTCCCTGACACCTAGGAAATGGTTAGAGCCACCTACGGTCATTGTAGCCACTTCGAAGAACCCCAATGATAAACTTGATCCAGCTACCTGCCTTCATACTACCAGGTCTCCGTGGCAGAGAAATATTCCGTCTAGCCTTGTCACGACTCCATTATGCAGTACCCTTGTTATTATGCAGCCCTCATCTGTTATGGAAACCTGAATTTTTTTGTTCTCCTCTCTGGGTGTCAAGAGACCTATTCTTTGATTTATATTTTATCTAATCACATGTTATTGATTTGAATTTTTATGAATTTTTCACCTTTTTTTTTCTTCTTTTTTTTTTTTTTTAAAAACATAAACTGAGCAGTTTAAGTTGTCAGAATGAAAGTGAAACTGAGATGTTTTGCTTTTTTCTCGCATTGTTATGTTTTCCTGTAAATGCACTGAAGTTAAAATGACTCACAAGTCCTGGGAGCAGGATTTGATCTGATAGCCAAAACATTCAATCTAGTCCTGCCTGACATTTTATATGGATAGAAAATTCTATGATTTTTCAAAATTTTTTTTTTTTTTTTTCATTATTAAAAATTTCAAATGATGAACATTATAATAAAACTTCAATATTCTTTTCAAAAAATTAAATGGATTGTTTTTTTTTTTTCTTTTTCTTCTAGTACATTCTTGAAAATCAGCTTTCAAAATCTTTACCATGGCGCTTAAATATCGGCCTCTGGCACAAGTGGGGATATGCAAAACTTTCAAGGCTTGATAAGTCAGTAAATTAATGGTGATTTTCTAAACATAGCTTAGATGTGGCACAAGGCTAAAAGTATGAGACACCCAGTGAGAATCGAACTCACTATTCAGTAGTAACTAATTTAGCGAAACAAGCTTGCTAATTATCACACCACATCGAAGTGCCTGAAGTCATTAAATTAATGAACCTAACCTAATCTAATCCTAATTAAGTACCTAGTACTAAATATAATGTAAGCAACTGAAATTTACCTCTCCTCAAACCAAGTACTCATAGACTCAAATATAAGTAACTGATATTTACCTTTCCCCAAAACGAGTAAATGCTCATAGACTCTAATGTAAGCAACCAATATTTAATTCCCCCTGAACCAAGTAATTGCTTAAAAATGGAAACAAAAAGTATTTTTATGTTTAAAAGTAGAAAGAAGCAGTTAAAATTTCTGGGACAAATAATGAAAGAAGGATTGGAGAATTTGACACTTGCACAGCATATTGAAGGAAAGAGAGGAACACTGAGTAACCTACCTAACACTGTGTAAATGAGGTAAGGAGAAATAGTAAAGAGAAAAAATTTGCTTACAACTAAGGACAGGAAGTTGTGGAGAGCCATGGTCACCCACGGCCTCAAGGGCAGCAGTCTTATTCTCCTGATCTGCACACTATATGTTATATTAATTTTTTCATACATGATCAGTTATACCTGATTTTATAGTTTTTCCATATCGACAGAGTACGACTGTCCTATGATATTGGTTTCCATAAGTTTGTGTCATTTGGAAGTCTTTCTTGTTTCTCTTAAGATTTGGAAACAGCACAGAATTGATTGCTCCAGTAATAAAAATCAGAATAAGCTTCATAGAAACTTCTATGATTTATGCTTCCATAAGTTTTCTTACAGAACATGCACAATAAAAGGATCTTTCGTTTTCTTAATTCATATCTCAAGATGCAGGCTACAAATTGGAGACAAAAATTCAAACGAGTATGAAAATTTAAATACTTGGGAAGTGTTTTAACAGAAGATGGAAAGTGCAACTCAGAAATGTAAAGATGCATTAGAACACCAAAAGATGCTTCCCAAAAATATTAAGAAAAAGGAAAATTCCAGTAAAAAAAAAGGAATTAGGACTTAACTGTAATGTAATATCAGTTCTATATGGCAGTGAATGCTGGACAATTTCCTTGCAGATGAAGAAAAGACTTGAAAGTCAAAATCTGAAGGTGCATTGTGATAGCCAAAGAAGCCTTCCAAAAGCTAAACAAAGTATTAAGAAACAAGAAAATTTTGTTAAAAACAAATAAGAGTATTGAACTGTTATGTAATATCAGTCCTCCTAATTGCCATTAAATATTGGACAGTCTCCTCACTGATGAAGAAGAGACTTGATGCAACAGAAATGTGGTTCTACAGAAGGATGCTGAGAATACCATGGATTGTAAACAGGTGAGGAACGGCAAAGTTTTAGGAAAGATGGAAACAAAAAGGACATCTATACTTAGGATCAGAAAGAAACAGTTGCTATTTCACATAATGAAAGTCATGTTCAGTCAATGGTATTTACAGCATCCTTCTGTCAGACAATATTTCTGTTGCATCAAGTCTCTTCATCTGTGAGGAGATTGTCCAGCATTTATTACCAATATAGGAGGACTGATACTGCATAACAGTTCAGTACTCATTTCTTTGTTTCTAGCAATATTTTTCTTAATACTTTGCTCAGTTTTTGGAAGGCATCTTTCTAACCGAACCCTTTATTTCAGCTCTGTGAATCTTACTGATTGAAAAATTGCCAAGAGGATCATGGGAGATTGAAAAAAAATGAAGGTTGAAGAAACGGCAACAAATTTATGGCATCTTTCACTATCCCAATGCACCTTTCAGATTTCCATGTTATATTTTCTGTCCTGTTAAAATGCTTTCCAGATATCTAACTTGTTGCACTTGTTTGATTTTAACATCTCCAACCTGTAATTTGCATGTTGGGCTGTCCCTTTTGCTAACAACCATACATTCTATCTTGTTTTAATTGAGGCTTAGTATTTTCTTCTCACTTTCCTTCACTACCTTCTGTAGAAGATCTTGTAGTTTTCTTTCTCCATCTGCTATCAACAATGTGTCATCTGCATCTCTTATGTTGTTAAAATTATGTCTTTTTACAACTCTTTTCTGTCATCCATTTACTCAATCTCATTAAGTATGTTAGGCATTGTTTTCCTTTGTCCCTTTTGCCATCAGTCTATCATGTGAGTATCAGATTTTCCAAGCCCTCTTTCCTCATTATGTGCCCTAGAAATTTCAACTATCCCTTCCTCATGTTAAGTATAGATTTCCTTTTTATTTCAATTTTCTCTAAAACTTAAATCAGCACTCACATATTCGGTCTGTAGTATTCTCTGAACCCTTCTGTAGAACCACATTTCTGTTGCTTCAAGTCTCTTCTTCATCTGTGAGGAGATTGTCCAGCATTCACTGCTATATAGGAGGACTGATATTAATTAACAGTTTAGTTCTCTTTTCTTTGTTTCTAACAAAATTTTTCCAATTTGTAATTTGAGTGTTGGACTGTCCCTTTTGCTAACAACCATGCATTCTATCTTCTTTCAATTGAGATTTAGTATTTTCTTCACACTTTCCTTCACTATCTTCTGTAGGAGTTCATATAGTTTCTTTTTTGTGTCTGCTATCAACACTGTGTCATCTGCATATCTTATGTTAAGATTGTGGCTGTCAATAATGAACATGGTAGGACTTATTCACTATATACACTACTGTATTACATTTGCCATCTACTTATTTTCTATATACCACATATATTCACGTATCACGCAACTTTTGAAGACCTAATTTTTAAGATAATTTTAAGGGGTGACTCATCATAAATGAGATATAAAATTAGCGTATCTACTGCTGGCCCTGGTTAAACCATTGACCAAAATATATATCCATTTCAGTCAGTTATGTGCCATGCATGATACATGCTTAGGCGATCATGTATCTTTTGATACAAGACTGACAAGACAGATCTTTTTCCTGCAGTAGGTTGCCATTTCTTTCTGCAGTAGACCAGTTGCCATCCAAGGCTATAGTACCCAGTCTGTCCTGCTATTTGCTCATAGCTGGGGGGAGAAGAAGAGTATTCATACCTTTCCCTAGGGTATTAGCACGTAAGTGAATGTAATGGATTCAACTGGAATTCGATACAGACTCAGAATAAGAATTCGGAGAGCCAAGTTTTAGTTCCAGTTTGGTTCGTTACATTCACTTATGTTCAAATACTCTTGGAAAAGGTATGAATGCATTGCTTCATAAGCTATGGGTTGAATAGCAGGACAGATTAAATAGCAGGACAAAGACTTGTTTGGCAACCAGTCTATCCCAGAAAGAAACAACAACCAGTCATGAATCGAAAGATCACCCAAGTATGTATCCCGTATGGCATTTAACTGACTGATTGGGGTGACGGTGAAACAAGAAACCAGAAGAGAGGATTCATACCTTTCCCAAGGGTATTAGTACATAAGTGAATGTAAATGGATTTGACTGAAATTCGAACTTGGCTCTCCAATTCCTCAATCCAACCTGCTATCCATTATTCCACCGCGCCTTCATTTACTGTAGTAAAGAAGTACAACTGTATTTAAAATAAACATGATATTCATAAAACTGATGTTTTACTTAACTGTATCCAATAATAATACACATAATATTCACATATTAGTATCATATTACATAGCGAATATGTATCTTTTCTGTTGTTTACATTTATAAGGTGTTTATCTGTTTCTTATTAGGTTGTATGCATTTACAAAACGAGTATAGCATTACTAACGATACTTTTATCATTCTCTTACTTTTTTAACTTATCTAACTAGAAGATGGGATAAAAAGATAGAGATTATTATTATAATTATTAAACCAAAGATATGAAACATGGCGTTCTATACTCCAGGTCAAGTCATGGCGCAACTGAGAGCCAGAACTGGAGGCCTATTGAAAAATGTAGGATTTTCAGAAATTTTAGAAGAAAATGAAGTCAACCACTTTATGAAATATTTAGAATAACATTTTTATTCACACCTGAGGATAATAGGATGTGTTGAAAGATAAATAAATGAAAATATGTATTTTTGCTATGAACACTGATAATTATTAAACAACACAAAGGGGTAATTATGATTTTTTGGTAAAAGATATATTGAATCAGAAATTTATATTATTTACAGGTGTCACTGAATCCTTTATTCAATCTATTCCCTGTGAGTGAATAAAGACTTTGGTTTAAATTTACATTACAGTTACTGGGTTTGACAAACCGAACCCAAGAAGGCTGGAAGACATTAGCCGAAGTGTGTAGATAACAATCAATCATCACAGAAGTATAGACAAATAAAACAAAATCATTCTAGGAAAGTTTCAAAACTTTTAGAGCTGGCTCTTTTTCTGATCTAGGTGTGCCATGT